AGGATCACCTCTGTCCTGTCCTTAGGAGTCCCAAAGTGCACAGGTGAAACAGATACTAATCCATCACTGCATTGTTCTTTTGTCCAGTAAGTACTTCTGTTATTTTGCTTCTCTAATGCCTTTTCTCTCTTTTATTTGTCCTCTCTCCCACTCATTGTAGGCATAAAGAAGAATTACTTTGCCCCTTCTTGGCAACAATTACTTATTTACCCCAAAAAATATTTAAGCAAGGATAAGAGAATAAAATGACTTCATTCCAAGGCTGGTGGTTGTGAAAGCTGTAAAAACCAAAGATCTAAAACAATGGCACCACATTACCACTGAAGTATCCATGTTATTTAGATGCAGACAGATAATTAGGACACCAAGTCCTGTCCTAAGTGTGACAGATTTACTTCAATTTATGTTTGACATATTTTAGAAAATTTTAGAAAATTTCTAAAACAAAAGTTTAAATTTCATAAAATAAACTAAATAGAGCACCACAGGAAAATATTAACTGAAAACTGCAAAATGCCCTTAAAACACTGAAATTAAACAAACTTGAATTTAAGATGTAAACTTGAATAGTCCTTAAATCTGGTTCCAGGAGTTGATCACATACGCCCTCACCTGAAGTGATCATCCAGCTAGGAAACGGGTATTTTGAATTTCTGAATTCTTTGCAGAATCTTAAACAGAATCTCTTCTATTTGGAGAAATGAGGCTTACAATATTTATTCCATAGTAAGTACTAAGACTACTGGTATTTTATCCATGTGACAGATAACTATTGGACTGCTTAGACTAAATCACTTACCTTGTTGAAATAAATAGACATTTTGTATGGCTTATTCATTCTTGTTCAACGCATAGTCTAACTGGTATGAAAAAAACAGTCTCTCCTGATGTTTATCATTTGATCGGTTTTATTATTTTTCCCAGTATGGCCAAAATCCAAGCAAAAATATTTCAGTAGTAAAATGACCATAAATTTCAGTAGAATTTTCCTATTTTTGTTTTTATATACATCAATAGGATACATAATTTTGACAGCTGTTCATAGGTTGCAAGAACAAATTCCTCTTGTCCTAAAATACTCTGGGTTACTATTTACAGTATGCATAGTTCAGCCAAGAGAGGAAAATAAGAAAACCAAGCTACCATATACGATAACAGAAAGAATGGTAGATAGCTTGATAGAATACAGTAATAGGGCATATGAAATCAACATTTACAGTGTAGGCTCTGCACCTGTGTTCATCTAGAAAATGTTTTCCCATGATAAAGGCCTTCAGTACTCTCTCTACAGAGTAATTTCAGTTAGCTCAATAAAATATAAACTAAGTCATGACATAAACATGCTCATAGACTTCTGAAAAGACAGCCTGGGAAAAACAAACAAACCAACCTATAACACAGGTATTAACTAAAGCTAATGTAATGAAGTGTAATCAATATGTTGATAACTCATTTTGATCCTGATTTGAATTAAACTATCTGAGTCTAGCATTTCTATGCTAGTATTTTATATAACTATATATGATTTCCTCTGCAGCAGACAACTATTTTCTCCACCATTGGACACTGGCATAAACTGTTGCAGAAAAATAATAACTGGAATATTTATGTTTAGACTGTTGTGAAGGGGATTGATAACTTTTCTGAAAATACTGTGCGATTGCCAAGGCTTAATGATTTTAGAATCTGCAGAGCTAATCTAGAAATAAATGTCCCTTGACCTGACTAATGCTATAATTTTTACTGAAATGAAATTTTTAAAAAACAAACATTAATTTGAATATGCAAAAATTGCATACTGCTCTAGGATTAAACTTTAATGGCTTGCTTTTTGAAGAGTATTTTAAGCTTCCATTAATTTCAGTGGGATTTAGCAGTTAATCATAATTTAAAAAAAAATATTAAAATATTCCACTAATTAAGTTATTCAGATTTCATAACTGAAGTTACTACCAACTGACTTAAAATGAAAATTTATAGCAGAAATGAAGCAGAACACTAAACTTCTCTTAACAAAGGAATCAGAAATCTGCCTGACTGAAAAACTGCATTTTCGGCCTGTTTATTTTGCCACATATGCATAAAGATACTGGGTGGGAGAAGAAACATGTAAAACAAACTCTATTTCAGGTTTTGTGCAGTTGTATTTAATTTGGTTAATCTGTTATTGCAGTAAATCCACCTTTCTTCCCTACAGAATTTTACCCATTACTCTCTGGCAATTTTCATGTGAAGAGATGACCACTATACCAAATTGGATAATGTCTCAAAATTTGCATTAAAAAGAATATGCAGTGTTTGAGAAAATATAACTACATCATACCTTATTATCAAAAGTGGTGGCAGAAAAATTCCTTTTTATAAATATGTATCTAGATATATTTGTCAGTTACTTGCTGGATATTTGCTGCTCCATATTTGTGAGACAATTGGAAATTTGTAAGAATCTGCCATGCTGGAGAGAATCAGTGCTTATATGGTTTTGTCCTATATCTAATTCTGAGAAGGTCTTCCCAACAAATACTGGGAAAAGTAAAAACCAGGGGAGAATCATCATTCTAATTTCACAATTTGATATCAGAAATATATTATCTCCAACAAAGGTAAGAATTGTAAATCTGTCATTAAAGGTCGTCTTCAATGCAATTCTGCTATGTTTATTCAATGAATCATAATTGCAAGATATACAGCACAACTGTATCCTCATTGATTCACAATTACAACTTCCATTTGTTAAACAAGTCTGTTATTGACTACAATATCAATTACAAATAAAAAAAAATGCAGCACTTTTCTTTGGCTTTAAAAATAAATTCCTTTTTGTATTTTTATTATACAGTTTTATTCAGTTGGTGGTTAACAGAAAAACTGTGAAAATATTTTTTTGCTGGTATATGCATGTGTTCAAGTGACTAGTTTGAATTTAAACTTTTCTTCTGTAATTTCAAGACTTGAACAAACAATTAATTAATCCCCACAACATCCCTGTGAGGTAGGTACAAAAGTGGCTGTACTAAAAAAGAAGAAATAGAGCTCAAGAGATAGTCACTTTGTTTCACTGAATCAGCAAAGCCAAAACAGTAACAAGGTAGTTGTACTTCTCACTGTGATTTGAGCCATGAAAATATACTGCCTTTCAGCAGTTTCAGTAGCTTCTGTAAAAATCCTAAAATATTCCATACGAATATCACCTTGGTCATTGTGAACAGAGAAAGATATTTTTCAAAGAGAAATGAGAGGGATACAGTAACTATCCTGTACACATGTAAATTTCATTGACTATTGACCTCATTACTCAATAGTAACAAGTAGCCTTCCGGCATGAAATATTTGAGAATATTTAAAGATTTAACCATTACAAGGACAGAAATATAAGCAATATATTTCAACAATAAAAATACATGTAATGGTTACATGGCTTTAAAAAGCTAATGATTATATTCCTTTGACCAATTCAAAAGCACACGTGTTGATGTATCCACCTTCCATATATTAAAGAATGCTAATATATAGTTTTATTGATTTGATACTAAAATTTTATAATGTATATAATCTGTCATGATAGGTGGTGGGTGACATAAAAATCACATTGACAGCAGAATGTTTTTACATAAATTCCATGCACATTCTTATTTCTTACTTATAAAGGAACACATATATTCATTAAAAAAAAAAAAGTCTCATGTACAAGACAAAGTGAATCCTGTCCTAGTTCCATGCCAATATAAATGATTTGCAACTTATTACAACCATCAAGTTTAATATAAACCATAGTAATCTGAAGATTTAATAACATACAAACCAAAATTAATGTTTCTCTGATTACTTCCATTAACTGCATAGCTATTCAATTATTATTTTCATATATAAATTCTGTAGCTTAATAGTAGAAAAATTAAAAATACACTCAGTACATTAAACAGAAGACTGTATTGACCAAAAGATTATACATTATTGCTGATTTTTGGAACTCTTTTTTTCTTTTTTAAAACATAGTCAACTATACATCAATTAGAAATAACATATAATGTATTTAAATTTTCATTAGTCTGTCAGGATGTCCCCTCTGTAACCTAGGTGCATTTAAAAATAAACAAATGCAAATATATTTTGTTGAAACGCTCCTCTACCACCAGCACTTTTAAGATTACTTAAAAGCACATAATGCAACAACTTCCTTGAAAAGAAATCTTTGTTTCTTCATATAAAATCAAAAGCCTAGAAGACAATGACCAGAGTAGTAGGAATGGCAAGGAAAAACTGCCATGTAAGTACAAAAGCTGTCTCTGGTAACCGTCTGAAAGGGTAACACCAACTGCATATTTTGACCATAAACCCGGAAGAGTGACAGTTTATCTCTCTTTTATTTATCCAGTTATTGCAGCATGTATTAACCAGTAAGAATAATTATATTTTATATACAACTAAACAACTCAAAATCAGAATGCATGAAGTAAAATTATGTTTTCACCCTATCAAAGTTAAAAGTATACTTTCTTGCAAAACCTCCTTTGAGAACTCAAGCATTTGAAGAACAGGCCATGTAAATATGACGTATAGTGTCATAAGAATTGTTTTACTCTATTCCTGAAGTGGGTATAACATTTTATGGACAAATAAAAAAAAAATTAAAATTGGCATGGGATGTGTAGTTTGGAAAAGACAGGTTTTGTGCTTTACACGTTCACTGAACAAAATAGATGCATGGCAAACTGACATTTTTAAACTGGAAAATGTTATGGAAAAATAATGATGCAACAGAAATAAACATGAATTTTTAATTGCTGATTTTTTTTTTGCAATTAGCTGATTTAAGGGCCATTTTAAGCCCAAAGCAAAGAACTACTGTATTAAAACATAAAGATTCCCCAACTTGTAAACAATAGGATTTTTCTTATGAATATCTGTAGCGTTGACACTGACCCTGAAGCTCTCATTGTTAGTAGGATGCTGTTAGTAGTAGCAGTTGCAAACGTATGGGTTTGCCAGTAACAACTCACAATTTGTGCATAGTTGAGTCTTCGAAACTGAGCAAATTTGCTCTCAAAATCTCGCCAGCGCTTGCTGAGCTGTATCAGGGTTGGCTCCACTGCTTTTGCAGCCCCATCCTTAGACAAGCGTTCAGCCTGCCTGTTCACCGCATTCAGATCTTCCTTCTTCTTCTCCAATTCTCCATCAATCTCCTAGTGAGCAAAACCAATACAGGGCCCAGGACAGTTAGCTAACTAGATCAATCAACTTAAAATTAGCAAAATACTTCTGTCAGAAATTCCATTTCCATTTTATTGTTACAATTAAAACTTACATCTACTTTGTCTTATTTTACATTTAAACAAAACAAAAATAACTGAAATTGAAGAACTTTCTTGGAGATTGGCTGTAGAGATACTAACAGCTAGGACACACTGAAAACTAGTTAGCAAAGGCCAACAGTTTCCACTTCCAGACTGTTGGTAGTACACTGTGATGGGCAATTGGAGAAATTATTTGAAATAATTATTTCAGTAACAGTCAGCATATTCAGGACAAATAGTCTTTGGACAGCTTACAAATATATTATTTGACTCTTTAATATATTACTTATCTCCTGTTTTGCTCTGTGGGAAACTCAACAGAGAATGAAGCAAAGAAAGACGATGGAAAATAAACTAGGAAAACCTTTGACAGTGTGTAAATAAATCTACAGAGTTTGACAGTGACATATGAAAATGTTCTGATGAAAATGAATGTGCTAACATGAGATAGAGGTCATCCACATATCGGTATGTCATTTGTTCATCTGGAACAAAGATACATAAAATCAATTATAATTTTTACTAAAAAACATTGATGCTTCTTCATACATTGCACACTTTCCGTATTATCGACAAAAAAAAAAAAATTAGTATTTGAAATTATTTATATAACATTCTGTATAATGAAAAAATGTAAGATATAGCACAACAAAGAAATATTCATTTGAACACAGATAATTAGGGTTTGTTTTACTATAAACAGTAAAAAGGAACTGAACTGATAATATTATATACCTATGAGAATATTTGTTACATTTGCTGTAACAATAACCATCGATATACTATCACGCAAAAAGATCTACTACTGCCATCCCAAAACATTACCTTCAGCTTCTGCTCATCTTTGTGGTCTGGTAGGCTGGCTAATTTTTTCTCAATGTCATCCAGCCATGTCATTAGGTCATCAGCCTGCCTCTTGTACTGATACCATTGATGAGAAATCTCTAAAGCCTTTTTTCTTCTTTGAGATCTCAAGTCCTGTTCACAGTGCAGACATTATTAGAATATGAATTAAAGGCTTATAAAATATTAATTGGCATGTATGCTGAGGGGAAAAAAAAGTTTACAAGGCCACTATTTTTTAAAATTAAATGTTGATATTTAAATCAGTTATCTAAGTATCTAACACAGTCTATTTTCTTCAGTTTAACAAATTATTTTTCTCTTTTAGAGGAAGTTACCAAATTCAGGGTTGTTCACATGTTGAATAAATCACTGAGACAGCCACCAATATTCAGAGAAGTTAAGACTTACATAAATGTCAATATTTTATATAAACCACTTCTCAGAATACTTACTAGCCAGATGGAAACACAGCCCACTTAGTACCTAGCCATAAGTGGGGTTCCTATGTTTTATGGTCTCCTGTGAAATTCTAGCCTGCATGCAAACTGTAGCTATTTAAAAGAAAATAATTTCTGTGCAGAAATGTGGGAAAAGACAGATTTCCTTCTTATAAATTAAGTATCATTTACATAACAAATCTCTTTTGTTTATGACAGCTTTCAAAAATATATAAAACTTTCCTTTAAGAGGAATGTAAAAAAATATTATTTCACATAAATATTATTAAATACAGCCATTTGCATTTGCTTTAACTGCTCAACTTTGTTCATACAGAATTCAGAAAATATTTTAATTACTATAACTTCTTATTAAGAAGTAAACTAAGAAAATGCTTGTACATTTTACTGATGAATTTGCCTCAACCATTCCTGAATTTTATTTTACAAGGTTGAATGACTTAACTGAGTCATCCAAAGAAAATTCAATCACTTTATTCCATAAAGGCAGCCAGTAAGAATCTGGTCAATAGCACAGTTCCAGAAACACTTTTCTTGTTTCTCCCCCATAAAAATTATTAATTTTTTCCACTTAGATTGGAACAGTCAAAGACTCACCTAATAGATTTAAAGTTTCTTTTAAATGTGGACAAAAATAAAAATAAATTCCAGTTATTCTTTTACTGAATTCAAACAGACCAACAAAACCATAAAAATTAGAATAAAATCCACAGGAAGAGAAAGATGCTGCTCAACAATAATTAATAATGAAACGTAACCATGCCATGTTACCCCAGCAAACGGCAACCTAAAATCTTCAAAAGAAAGAAGAATTCTGCTTGTCATTAAGATAAAAAATTCTTCTGTAGTAGACAGAGCCTATGGCTCCAGGTAGGTGAACAAGGTGATCTTCCTACTGTAAGATTCTTTCTTTCATCACTTTTGATTTTCCCTGGAAAGATAACACTCCAAATTATGAATACTAGCTTGTTCAAATAGGCTTCCCTGTGGATGTTTCTACAGGTATACCTCCAGGAATGTGGTAACATGGAATTTTGATAAGTGACTTCAGTTTTCAGCCTCTTAGCTGCTAGGTATTTTGGTACTACCACCTACCCTATTTTAAAGAGTCTGAAGCCACTTCTCCTACTAAAGAACATAGCATGTAAATCTTTCACTAAAGGATAAACAAACTTATTCACTGCCAGAAGTACGTTATACAACTGAAAATATAAGTTTGTGAGAACAGATTCTAAAGGTCTTGACTGCTGTTGTAGAAACATAAAACATGCATAATGCATTAAAAAAGGAATTCTCATCAAAGAAATAATTGTTGTCCAACTGGTAATCAAATGATTGTAACAATAAGGACAAAATAGAATTTGTTAAGCTAGAGATACAAAGTGTCTTTTCCAAAGAATCAAGAGAAGTCTAAAAGAAAATATACGTTTAGAGCCAAGTAGTTTTAAATTACTCATCTTTAAACAGTAATGAAGATTCACTGAACAGAACACTGCCCTGAAACAAAGAAAAAAAAATAGTTTTAGTAGCACGTGCTTGTAATTGTAGCTCCTATACCTTGAGAGCATTATGTTTAGTCTGCAACAGCTGTTGCTTTATCTTTATTTCCTCCCGTTTTCTCTCATCTGTGATTCTCTTTTGAAGTGTATCGCCTCTTTGCAGCAATTCTTTCACTGTACTCTCATCCTCTTCACTCTGATTATAAAAAATAACAAGTAGAATAGGCATTTGAATCTATTAATTAAATAAGTACTAGGAGATACAGATATATAAAACTACACTTCCTCTGCTAAAGTAATCACCTAACATCTACTTGCAGTTGTATACTGAAGATCAAATAACTTTTACTTGCTTTCTACAATAAATGTAGACACTTGAGGAGTACAAATAAAACAGCACTCGAAAACTACAGACGTTTGTATTAGATTTTATGCACTATCCAGGATAACAGGATGAAAACATTAAAGGCCGAAAGGTAAAATATATTCCACTTTAAAAGAACAAGAGTATAAATATCTAAAATATTCTAACTTACTGTCAGTAGTCACTGAGATTGCCAGTATGCTAGGAGGCCATGTAATTCCAGAACATTTCATGTTTCATCACTATGCAAAAAAAGCTATTCTGGCAAGGAAAATTATACCACTCAGTACATTTACAGAGAAATGGAACCTGTGCCACAGCTTCTAGGAGTGTACCTCTTAAACCACACTATTTTATGTAAAAAAAGGGAATAAAATATACCCAAATAGTGGAAACTCCCTGTCAAGCTTGACCCACTTAGAACTTTCCACTTCAGTACATACTGCCTTAAATTTTATTTTTCCTGTATTTAAAAAATAAAAGAAAAAAAGAAAAAAAAAAAAGAAAAGAGAAACAGAAGAAAAATAGTTCTGCAAAGATTCCTTTCAGCATTGATAAAAAGTGGCTATCTTTGAAGAATTCCTTCAAAGGAAAATAACATTGACTCTTTATATTGCTTGTAAAGAAATATAGATTTGATCTTGTTGAGGACTAACGAATAGAGGGTCCTAAAGACAAATCTTTGCTATTCTCCAGCCAAGAAATGTCATCCCTTTGAAAAACGCTTTGGAGAAAATACACTACAGTGGCAACAGTACCAAAGCTCAGCAGTATTTTACTCCTCTCTTTTCTCTCCCACCCCCACAAGGTGCATAAATGGTTTTACTACTTGCAAAGAGCAAACATTAGTAATAAAGCTTACCACAGCCACAAAAACTATTTACAATAAATTGCATAATCAGATTGGTTAAGAAATAATTGGCAAGTAGCACTTCATTCAATCATTTTCTAGTGCTTGTTTTTAGTGAATGTCTTCTTTTACCATACTGCCCATTTAGATACACGATTCTGAGTTTAATTGGTCTTTATACTAATACACAGATTTTAATATATTAGTACATTAACATTTTGTCTAAATCATATCTGAAGATCCTATCACAGATACAGAAGTTTCTAGTTTTCCCTCAGGATTTTCATCTCCCTGTCTACTTCACTAAGATTTCCATTTCAGCCAAATTACCATATCTTTATTGAAGTCCTCTTCTTTCAGATTCACACCCTGCTGAATTTCAACCTCCAGTGGTTCAAGCATTTTTTGTATATCAAAGTCAAATTGCTCCAATTCCTTCAAAGGAATGAAGGGCTAAAATGGGAGAAATAGAAAGATTATTTATTCAAATAATATACTTAACAGTTTTGTTAGAAACGTAAATGAAAAGACATCTGTTCTACCCTGTATTGCTAAAACAATGGTAAACTTCCTATCCCGTAAAAAAAATTCTACACTATACAACTCTACCCAAAGATAAAAGTAAGGATAGGTATTTAACAATACTATAGAACTTCCATATAAGAAAACATAAGAACTCTATGGTGAGTTAAATTAATAATAATAATAAATAATTTCTCACATTTGTGTGTAAGAACAGGTTCATATAAATAGTGTAACATAACAATTTGTCTAAAATTGTTGACAATACATGGCTAAATCTGGTTTGTCAGAAATTTCACACAGCAACAAGCAATCCATTCAGATGAAAAACCACCTACCATTATCAGTTGAGAAAAAAATAATGGCAATTTGTTTCAGTGTTTTAAAATCAGTGCTCTCTTTCACAATGAACAGCAAAAATGCCAGGTGAATTATACAAAATAAAGGGCAAATTAAGTTTGTGTAAGATATTCCCCTAACAATACTTGGTAACATATTAAAAAAAAAAAAAAAAAAAAAAAAAAAAAGAAAATTAAAAAAACTTCAACTAAGAGCTTCTGTTTCAAGAAAGCCTCAACAAGAATGTAGGACCAAAAAACCCCTCAATCAAACAAAATACACAATTCCTCCAAAATGAATCACAGTATAATTATGCTTCTTTAGCTTAATTTTCAGTTTTAAACTCTAAACCAAGTGCCACTTATGAACAATACACCACCCTTTATCTGCCTGATAGCTGAGAACATGTGGATAGTTTAATGAACAACATGCAACTTACTATGCATTGCAAAAGATCAAGAGAAAATAGGTTGTTCTTTCAAAGCTTTAAACGCATGAACAAGCAACAAATTATTGAGAATTCTTGCATAAATTTAGAATTAGTGGTATTGGAGAAATTCTTGAACACACAACTGTCTTCTTGTTAAACATTATAAGCACATTATAGTCTGACCTGTTCTCTTTTACTCTTCCCTCCAGTACAACTGGTATTTATTATAAAGCAAAAGTTTCTAATGAAGACAGTAACAATCAAAGTTAAACAGTTAAAACAGGAGAGGCTGAATATCAACTGTAACTTGTTATCAGCTGTTTCACAGATGACCTGGGAGAATTTGGATAAAAATGTCTTAATTGTATCTGGTTAATTGGTTTAATGACAAAGATTTTGCACACTTATGAACTTTAATGGAATTATAATAATGTACAATATTTATAAAGAATAGGACCATGCTTGCAAATTTTCATCAAGAAGTTCAGAATAACACTCAGCAAGCACCTCAACTGAGGTAGAAAAAATAGCAAACTACACACTAATTTCTTCTCAAATGCTTTGAAGGATGTCCTCAAAAGTGCTTAAAGCTCAGTAAAAGACAAATCTACTAATAAAAGTTGAATACAAAATTGTTAATCTCTGAAAAATGCTAAAAACAATAACAAAAAAGGAAAATGAAAGGAAAACTACTAAACGCAATTCCAATAATTGAATCATGTTCAAAGAACACTGGAAAATGTTGAATCTCATTTTAGTACATGATGATAGTTTTCTTTTAATTCTGGACATGACAGTTATGTACTACCATATACTGACTTCACAGGTAATTTATTTACCTGGCTGTTGTACTGATAATTGTTAGTATTTGAAAAAAAATAGATAATTTGGAAACAGATAAGAATTGATTGAAAACAGATTGAGAGTTTACTATCCTCTGGAACTGATTTTATTATTTTCAATCTGTTATTCACCAAGTGAGTAATTTTACCAAAGCATGAAAAAAAAAAAAAAAAAAAAAAAAAAAAACATAGAAAAAATATACAAAAAAAAAAAAAAAAAAAAAAAAAAAAAAAAAAACAACCAATGACAAAACACTTAGGAAACATCACCCCATAAGCATAAAAAATTTTCTGCCCATAATGCTGAAATCATGTCTAAGGGAATTGCAGTTACCTACATTATACAGGTGGAGAAAATAAGGTACCCAGCAATTCAATACATCCAAATGCATACAGCAAGTCAGCAGAACAGCCAAGAATTGAGACAAGCTTTTGTCTTTCTATCTTATGCAAAATCCATTGCTATAGATATCCTTTGTGAATCCTAGCCTAGCTGTCCATTCCCCAAGGTCTTAGAAACAGTCCCCGAAATTCCAATATACCATTAAAGTTATGTGCTAAAGTAATTCCTCTATTCCTCTCATCTTGCTAGGTACATAGTGTATAGTACTTAGTGAGGTACTACCACGCCATCTCATCTTGCCTACACAATCAGAAACAGGAAAACAGGTTGCCAGGTGGAAGACTTTTGCAAGCTGTGTTCTGAAGACAGATCATCTTGGTAAACATCTTTTCTGCCTTCTTTGAGTGGGATTATAACGTGCAATGCAAACAGCTCACAGTAAAACATCTACAGGCAGTCCTATTTTTCCCTAGGACAAGAACTAATTTTACACCACCCTATCAAAAGTTGCACGAGTCCTGTACGCTTACAGCATTGTGGAAGTGCAAGGTAAAACTGAAAATGAAATCCAGGCTGCAGATAGCAGATGTTCAGAATAAAAACATCACACAACAAAGTTGTTTAGGTTTTGTACCAAAAGGTTCCCTCTCTGCAGTTTGTACCTGTATAAGAAGTGAGAAGCACACTGGAATATTTGAAGTGCTATTGATGGCAATAGGGGAAAAAAAATAAAAAGGCCTTTATTCATTGGTCATATTATTTTCTGTTTCAGAAATGAAACCTGAATAAACTCAAATACACAGGGTATTGAGCCCTGCGTGGACACCAAACAACTACATGTTTCTTTGCTTATGCTTTTGCAAAGCTTAGTTTCTCCTCTGCCACTGATCCCCTGGGCATTCCTTCCAGTGCTATTACAGTAACCAGAAGAAAAAGATCAGGGTCTTTTCAGCTGCCCAAGGGTAGCTTTATCATGCATTCCCATTACATTATACACAAAGTTGCATGTCTATCTGCTTTAATTTGCTACCTCTCTGCAATAAAGGCTGCAAATAAAATGGAGAAATCAGGTGGCTTACATCCTTCCTCACTCCAATTCTGAAGTCACATATTTGCTAAAAATTACCTAATCTGTACTGAATTCAGATCAGGTAGTAGTATAGTTGCAGCTAGTTGTACAGTTAAAGTATAACAGATACATCTGTATATATCTATCTTTCTCCACCTCAAACCTTGATGAGTCACACCCTCATGAAAAAGAGTGTATTTAATGAAAAATTAGCTTTCAAAAGTCAATCTACATATATTAAAAAAAGGCTACTCATACTTTGAGAAGATTAAGAATCTTACTAATACCCAATTAATTCTTTATAAGTTAAGTAATCTTCATTATAGTCATATAACATGTCAGCAAATGCTTCTAATTGTGAGACAGTGAAAAAAGATTTTGTCAGAAAAAACCCCCAAACTTTCACAGTTAAAAAGAGAAAAAATACTTAGGATCCAATTTTTTTTTCCTTTAAAAGCTTAGTTTTTGCAGAAACTGCAGGCTGCTTATGTAGTTGTAATTGTGTAACTTATATAAACGCCATTGTTATGTATCTCCATATGGAAGCAAGTCCTCCTACCTTTCCACTCTTAATTCTTTGTGATATAGTTGCAAATCGCTGGTTGAGCTCTGACAGTTTAGGCTCTATTACTTTCCTGCAGTGATCTCCACGGTGTGTCATCAAGTTTACTGCCTGGTCACGCACAGAGTCCACTTTTGGATGCATATCATTCAGCTCAGCCTTTAAGTGCTACAGTCCGTGAGCAAGAGACAGGGCTTGAAGTTAGTAATAAATGCAAAGAGAGAGAAAGAAAGAGAGAGAGAAAGTGTGCAAAGGAATAGGGAGCAAAACCACAAAGCAAATTCAGATAATTATGCATGAGTGCGTAAATGCAGTAGAAGTACATTAGACAACATTCCCACTTATGTCTTTCAAATTTATAGCAGGAGTGTATCTACAGGCGTGTTTTGAAATCTCCTAGATAAAATGTATGCTGAACATTATTTCTAGGCAGGTTCTTTTTTGCAATAATACAATACTCACTGTATTTTAGGTTACATTAAGTTATGTTGCTACTGCTAGTTAAAGCTGCTAATTCATGTATTACAGGACTGGATGTATAGTTGTTGCTTTCATTACTGTTTACACCTATGGCTGAGGCAGGGAAAAATGACCAGATGAAAACTAGCAGGAATTTTTTCTATAAATCTATCATGAATTACAAAATATAAGGGCAAATATCTTCTTCCTTTGAAATAGAATTCTTATTAGTAAATCCCACCATGGGCAGAAGCCAAAAGAGATGGCCAGGCATTCAGGAATCATAAACACTGTTGGGCATTAAGAATTATAATTCACTGTCTATATGAAATGTCTTTGAGCAATATAAAGATATACATCTGTATTGGTGGCAAATATAATTTACCATCAATTATAAATATAATACTTTGTACCTGATGGTGGAAAAATTGTTCATTCAGCTGCAAAAACCTGTCCCATA